TTCTATCACCGTGTGATGAAAGCTTCTTGCCGGGACAGACCTCGATCTGCTCGGAAACATGTATAGAGAGCACCGGGCCGTCACGCCGAAGGTTACGTGGCTAACACTTCCGGGTTATCGAACAAGGACATTTGTTATACAGGTCCTTGAACGAACGTAAAATTATGTGGAAAAATGCCATAAATCCGCAAATAGATATATATTTTCCTCAAAGGTTCTTTGAATTGTGGCAATCATATTTTCACTAAATGTGGCTATGCAATCGTGGAAAACAGCGTTTTAGGGGGCACACCCCAATTTATTTGGGGCCTCTATGCGAAGCTGCACACCCTCAAATCTAGCGACCGTCTCTGGCGTGGAATAATTCGGAAGGAGAATAACTGTATATGGGACGAAAGGATATCTCTTCAGCTACAAGACAAGCTGAGTTTGGTTTCTTCAACCTTTTTAAGTTTGGTAAAATCAACGGAAAAAACATTATTTTCACTCCAAAATTAATGCCCAAAATCGGAATTTTCGCGTAGGATAATCCCACAAAAAAAATTTTCCGGCAGAAATGACTGATGCTGGCAGAAGGACCCAAGCCTTGACTATACCCGAGTAAATTATAAAGAAAATTCTAGTACTGTAATTTTCTGAACAGTCCACGGCGCGAGGGGTTGCAAATCCACCCCTACGAAGCCGCAGAGCGAAATCTAGGTCAAACGGGGGCGGATTACACTTGGCGCGCAAGGATACCCGGAAGTAAGGTTCGGAGCCAAAAGAAATTTTCACCCCAAAATCACCATTTCTTACACTCTTCAGCCATGTTAAAGTTTAATGATACTTCGTGGCAGTTTATTAGAAATGTCACCTCAAACTTGGACCCTCAAAACCCTTTCGTCACTTTTTTTACAACGGACTATCGCGATGTCGCGGAAGAACTGGGGTGTGCACCGTTTAGTGCATGTTCCTCAAGAAAGAAAATTACTCCGCACGTGTAGTCTCTAAAAGAGTCCCGACAAAAAAATGATTGTGTCCGAACAGCGTGAGTTTAGGTCCACCATAAAATCCCTTTCATCCCTCAGACCTGATCTAAAAAGGATTTGAGATGAAAGCCTGTTTATTATTGACAGGATCAGGCAGGGAAGTTTCGGCGTCCGGGCGATTGTCGGACGTAAACGCTTATTTTGACCTGAGTACTGCGGTGGGGCACAGTGAGCCAAAAGAGGGCCTCTTGCGGTCATGG